GAGACCGCCTCCGCCTCCTACGAGTTCGGCAGCCGCCTCGAGCCGCCCGCCTACGCCTCACGCGTCTTCTAGGCTTGCATCTGCAGAATCTCCTCTTCCTCCCACGTCTGCGCCCTTTTTTCTTACATTTGCACCCCATCTTCCGCTGCATCCTGCTTCTGCGGCAGGCGTCCAATAGATTCACCTCTTGCTCCGCGATCTCTTGACATTTTATATCTCCGTTCGTCGGTAAAATGTAATGGCCGCCATTCTTCTTCAAGATGCCGTACGCCACCCCGCGTTTCAAAGCTGTTTGCATCTGTTTGGATTCAAGGATTGAGTTTTGGGGATACAAAACAGGGGGATAAGTAAACGTGGAGATACGTGTTTAATAAATATTGATTAGAATTTCGAAAATGGAAGGGTTGAAGAAAGGCAAAATTCATTTTTGTATCAAGTTTTAATCGGAAATAATGTATCATTTTGATAATTTTATTTGGAAAATTTATTACTTTTAATAGTGTTTGGGTAAGTTTAAATGTACATGACTTTTGACTATTTTTTTCTAATAATTTGTAGATTATAATAATATACTTATAGCAATTTGTTGTGCAAATAATTGTGTTCTAATCAAATGAGAATGTAAAAATTTATCTTTTGATATATTTTCATGATGAAGATTCTATTATTCAAGAAAAAGTCGCTAACCTGACGACGCGCTACATTTGGTAATATATCGTAGACAGACGAGATATAATGCAAGATTTCTTTCGAAGTCGATCCTTTTAATTCGCGAAGATTTTTAATGGCCTTGATGACTAGCCCGAGAATTTTAGACGAATCACTCACCATGATTGCATCCTTCTTCTAAACTGCAAAAGAACATCGATCAAATTAAAATTCTCTGTATTCATAAGATGTATCTGTAAAAAATTTTTCGCGCCATTTTTCAAAATATCCGAAACAACATTCATTTTCACTTGTTAAATGATATAAATGAAGAAAACACGTAGAAAAATTAATTTCGTTTAAACAATTTGTTAAATCATTTTTTATTTTAAAAAGATTTCAAAGTTTGTGATATTTCTATAACTTATTTTTCTATTTAAAATATTCAAAATCATTAATAATTGGTAATTTGAATTTATTAATATATTTATTATTGATAATGAAATTTTGTTTTAAAATATTGAAAATTTTTGACAGTTTTCGTGTCTTTTGATAACATTTAACGAGTAAAATTCAAAAATATTAATTTTCAAGTTATACTGGTTCAAAAATAGTTTATTTTTATTATTATTAGCCTATTTTTGAACAATTAATTATCGGAAATTTTTATTCGATACAGCAAAGATAGAATTAAATAATAAAGCAACGAACGAATATCCTCTAACCCGATCATTTTTAAGTTCTCTTTTAAATAAAATATGAACTTGACATTGTGAATATTCATAAAGGTACTTAATAAATTATTATTCAAATATATATATGTGCTATTCTACACTTCGCATACTTCTTATTGCGTTGTTAAATAATTCTTGAAATGCTTGATAAATTGAAAAGTAGAAAGAAAATCAGCGTTTTTAGTAAAATGTATTTAATAATCAATCTAGGATAGTTATTTGTCTTATTGTTATATTAATTGAAATAGTTTCGATTGTTTTTATAATTTTTTATTAAAATTGTAACCGAATGTTATTAATTTGAATTAGTGAAATTTCAGTATATCATAATCTTGAATATAATAATGTAAAATTAAAAAAAGAAACGGATATTTTGACTTTTTATCAATAAAATCAATAAAATCTTTGAAAAATATTCAAATACATCGAAACAATTGGTCACAAGGAAAAGTAATTTACGTATTTTAAAAAATCAGATTTTAATGAAAATTTTTATATTTATAAAACATAACTAACATTTCTGTCTCCTTGAGACAGAAATCAATCCTCAAATTTTTACCATTTTCTCATATTTTCTATACATGAATTTCAACTAGAAATACTTTTTATAACAAATATAATAGAGCAATATTTAATTAATTTAATATTTTGCTCCATGTATTCTAAACTATTTATTTATAAAACTTGAAAATAATATTGAAACTTTAAGAGATAATTTTATCCTCTAGAGTCAAAGAAACAAGTTGCTATATAACCCATTACGATCACATATAACCCATATTCACAAAATCTCGTGTAGAATTATCGTTGATATTGATTAATACAATTTATTAATTGAAATCGAAATAAGATCTATGAATACTTTTGCAACTGACTGTATATCTATACATATATGTATATATACATCTATAATAATAACCGATAGTACCTTAAGAGATGGTAATTAATTGACAGATAGTCTTGGCGCTACCTGTTCCCGTGAATTTTGACGAGAAATTTTTATACTTCATCGGGCTACAACTTTCAATCCATGATTCGTTGATTTCCCTCTCCCTTTGGAAATTTTAAATACTTTGGAAATTTTTAAATTTTAAAACGGCGACCAAAAATTTTCTTACGTCACATTTCTGTTAACCGATGGGTGGAACGAGCATCGACGTTTACAATTGAACGTAGATGTTTCGAGTATGATCTTTTTTTTTTTTTTTTT